AGGTCTTTTCCAACCTAAACGATTCCATGATTCTATGATTATATGTATCAAGCCTTCTTAATTAAAAGCTACAAATTATTGAACAAAACTGAACTCAGAAAAATTTTCAGGAAACCAAACTGTTTTAATACAGAACTCAGGTGTTTGTGTTTATAAATATATATAAATATACATACAAATAAAAGGACCATAAGGGATAAAATTGCTTTCCTTTACACAAAGCGGTCTCCATGCACTGCAAGCATTACCATTTAGTTACCTCATGGAACTGCTTTAACTTTGCAGGCCCTGTTCACATTTTTGTTACAAGCTTGTATTTTCTCCTGTAGGAGTTCAAAACCAAACATGCCTGTCCCCATAACTCTAGCATAACGAAAGGAAAGGTTTTGCTTCTTAATAAAACCCCTTTTTTCAATACAAACCGACTGTAAGATTTCCACAAGTATCTTGCAAGATCTGCTGTATCATTTTAATATTTGTTCAAATTAAGGTCCCTCATTTTAGAAATAATCAAAACACAATTGATTCTTTTAGAAAAGAGAACTGGGCAAAATGTTCCACGGAGTAAAGTAAATCTCATTTAGTTGTCCTGGACAGACTGCTTCAAACATTGAGGTCTAAACTAAAGATAGCTATCTTACACAATGAGCTTAATATATACACAGAGGATAAAACATGTATACACAATGCCAAATGTACATAATGCATAGAAAATTAATATTTCTGAAAAGGCAGTGTTTGTGAATGTATTCTGTGCACAGCTTTCTCAGATGAATTGCATGCAGAGGAAATTTTGATATCTCTTGGCAGGTAATGTTGAAATCAGCCCTTAAAGGATTTACAAGTTGACAAAAAACCATAGGCAGCTACCAGGTCTAACTCTATTGCATGTTACTTATTAATTAATATTGCCCTTTTTAGGTTTGGGAAGGCTTGTGTACTTCCCTCAGTTATAAAGCAGGTCTTCCATTCAGTGTCACAGTATTCTTTTGTGTGGGGGTTGTTTCCTACCCCCCACCCCCAGTAACATTTCTTAAGCTTCGGCTATCAGCACTGAGTGCAGACAGCCTAATTTCAGGTGTCTGAAGTAAGTATAGCCTGCAGCTGCTTGCTCTGCCCATCCCTGGAGGGAGGTATTCCAGCAACTGGGGAAGCCACATGCGATTTGAAGCAGCTACACCGAGGCCCCAGTTTACGTCCTCCCATCCTAGGTAGCCCCAAGTCAATGCAAGTTTAATAGCTTGGAGTATGTGGGACCCCGGAGTTGCTTCCTGTGTGATTCATCCTCCCTAGCTAGAGACAGATGAGCAAAAAATCAGTAATTGCTTTAGGAACTTGAGTTTAACCCATCCAGAGATGTCCGAGTAAATCCTTAGGCTAACAATGGAAAACCCAGCATTACTTTTGCCTTCTTTGTCATGCAGTCTAAGGTTTTTTGTCTGACAACCCTCAAACATGAAATTTTTCCCCCAGACAGTAGAGCAAAATATTTTATGGTTTTGATGGCTGACTGGTGGTGAATTGAGCTGTAATGGGAAAGCAAAATGTTTACACAATAAACCCATAAATCATTTTGTAATCATTAACAAGCATTCTGAAAACGTTACTGCTGCCAGTTAGAAACCTAATTCACTGACACCTGTCACTCACTATATTATACAAAGGAAAAAAAAGTCATTGGTCCTTCACGTTCTGAAAAGGGGGATGTGATAGTAGCGGTCGTCCTCAGTCAGGAGAGAAATCTCATTCCATTCCCTTCGGTATTCATCTGGATAGTTTACTTGAAATTCCTCAGTATTAAACCTATGCAGTCTGTAGACTCTTATCTTTACTTCAAGTAAGTATCCAAGAAGAAACAGTTCAACCTGAAGATGAAAGAAGTCTGTGAGACATTTATTTCTAGACTTAAAAAACTAAACTGAAGCTAATCCACATTAAGGCAAGACACCCAGCTTCAAAACAGTAGATAAGGAATAAAGGGGGCCGTTTTGTAAGTGAAGTAAGAAAATTAAAACTTGGGAGGGTATTCTCAATGTTCCAGCAGTCCTTCCACTGCTCTTTTGCATGTAGAGGATATTCTGGTTAATGCTTGACACTTTGGAAACATCCCTCTTCCACTTGACACAATATACAGCCTGCTCCCAAAGCCAGCTCACAGCTTAGTGAGGAGCACGAAGGGACTAGCTATTATTGAAAGATTGATATACCTTGAAAAATGGGAAGCCTGCCACCTTGTGATCACTTGCTACATATGAGGGAAATAAAATAGTAAAAGGAAAAAATGTCCTTATACTTCATGTATATGGAACTCGAGACCTGGCATCTCATTGACACTTCTTGCAAAGGATTGTTTAATCTGGAAAAACATTTTGGAAAAAGCTTGTATCCTTGGGCATAGCCAGACAGAGCAGAACTTGTCCAGTTATAATCAAACTGCTACTGAAGGTGACTGCAACATGTAACAGTTGACTTGATAACTGAAATTGCTTACAAAAAATAATTCCACCCATTGGAAAGTGAAACTATTTGCATAGTGGCAGTGTGGAGCTTAGATATCAGTACTTAACTCCTCACTAAATATAAAATTAAAAAAAAAAATCTTAACATATAAAGGTGAACAATAGAGTTCTCATTACCTACTCTTAACAGACATCAATCTAATAGGAACCAAAGAGAGGGGAAAAAAGTAAGCGATGAGGGTTTGGCATGGTGGAACAGATAGGAGAAGCAAAACAACAGGTCAAATCTGCAAATCTAAAATTATTTTACATATCAAAGGTTTCATTGTTCTAAATCATGTCTCATTGATAGCTTGCAGCATTTATTTCTGGCCCACCAAAAAACTGTCCACCCCATTTTACTATACTACAGGTTTTTTTCCTGGAAGATAAATGAGTATCCTCAGTCCACTTCCCCACACCCCAAAGAAAAAAAATGAGCCAGCTATCACAGATGATGTATGATATATTTACCTAATCATGTAAGAGATGGAGTAAGTTTTGTGATGTATTTTTCATTTATATCATTACCTGGTCTAGGCAAATAGAATCACCTATGGAGTTCAGATGATTCATCATGAAACTCAAAGGGTCAGATGAAGAATCACGAGCAAGGAGAAGTCTAAAAAGGTTGTGTATGGGTTCTTCCCTGTTCTTTATCTGCTCATAGGCTTCGACAACTTCGTAGAGCATGATGAATTTTATGGCCTCATATAGTTTGTGCTCCTTGCTCTCATCAGAAAAGAGTCTATTACACATGTTTCCTCTTTCTTCATGATCTTTAGTAGCACTTATTTCAGTCCACTGGAAAGCACACAGAAGAATATTAATCTAATTATTAAGAATTCTATTTGATATGAAAGATTGCAAACCAGGAACAATTGCCAGTCTGTACTGTACCATTATTGTAGCCAAATGGTGGTGCAAATAAGCAGGTGGCACTTTGGAATCCATAGTGAAATCTGAAGTCTCACACATTTCATTTTCCATTTATCCAGCTGAACCTATTTGCTACAGACAGCTCCAAGCATCTGGATGCTAATGATAGTCTATGAGAAATCAAATGTAATTCCCCCGTACAAAAACCGCTCTCCATCACCATAGAAAATCCAGGTACCACTGTCAGTAAGGAGTCTGACAGGAGCATAACCACCAAAAGGACCTCTGAGAATTACAGGAAATCTGTGTGGGCGCATCAGACATACACACTAGGCCATAAGCAAAGGTTAGATTAAGTGATGACTCCTGACCTGTTTTTAACTTACAGCTTCCAAAATTCAGTGATTTTCCTCTATAGTACCCTTTACATTAAAGTTATCCTAGTTTGAATTCTTTAGATGCTGAGCCCAATTCAGAAGCATGTCAATTAAAAGCAATCTATACAAACTGGACAAGCCAGCATGGTATTATGAACTGTACACATCCGTGTATCTTTAGTGTGTTCTGCTTCATGAGGTCAGGGTAAGTTGGCTGTACAAGAAGGGACATGACAAAGATATGCATGGGGCACCAACGGGGTAGGTATTTCTCATTCTGCTCACAGTTGATAACGAGAGCTCCTGAGCTCTCTGTTGCTCTAGAGGGGTCAAAAGCCAGTGCTCACACCCAGAAAATGGGCCATCCAGGGGAAAATGTTGGACTGTTGGATATCAGATCAGAAAGCTTGAAGCACCCAGTCCTGAACACAGTGGCTAAAAAGAGTCATCTGGAACTGAGAGGTTTTTTGGGATCACAATAAGAGATGATGCTCAATGACTGGGATTCAAATGAATTTCAGTTAATTCTATGCTTTTATCATTTATATGTTGAAATGGCCATAAACTCTGAATTGCAACAACAAAAAATCTATTTAGCCATAAACACTAAATCGAGAAACAGATCCCCCACCTTCTCATGCATTCCTGAACTTTCCTTACAGGTTAAAAATGAGACCAAGTGGACGAACCACTACTGCCCCTTTGCTAGAGGACCTCTACTACCTAAGTGAAAAGCCTGTCCTGAGTGTAAAGCACCTACTAACCAACATGGCCCATGCACAACACTGTCTGCAGGCAGCAGCCCACAAGATGATGACAGAGCTGGGAAAGGCAGCAGAGAGGCAAATGTCTCCAGCTTACCCAACAACCAGGCACTCTTCTGTGGCTTGGTCAATGCAGGCAAGTCTGGAACGAGGCCCAGACTCACGAGTTTGGGGTGCATAGCAAGACTCTTGCAAAAAAAAAAAAAAAAGTGTGCAGGTATATGACTAATACTCCTTGAAAGGCTTAAAACACCTTTGGCAGTAACCACTCCCCACCACTCCTGTATCTTAAAACCATAGCTGGAGCAGACATGTGCATCTATAAGCCTCAGACACTAAGTAATATTTACTGAATCTGGCTATTCAAATTCTGTGGAAACACACAAGGTTTCCTAGAGTATCAGCTGAATAAAGAACTAAGTGCGCAGTTAAACACAGCAGAACCCAAACTCCCAGTGCTGTCTCTTGAGCACTTTTCGCATTACTAAACGTACCATAAAACCCTGTTAGTGAAAATAGGCAAAAATCCCTCTCACTGGCCAAACAGCATCCTTATAAAAATAAAATAAAGTTGGGAGCTAGACCTCATGCCCAATAACAGCATAATGCATAATACAGCTGCTCTGCAATGGTTTGTTAATTGTATGGATTTGTTCACCGTGCTGACTTGAAACTTTTTTCTGTACAAACATCCAGTTTAAATGCTTCATGCTAAGGAACTAACATCAACTGACAAAGTTGTAACTACAACAAGATAAAAATAAAAGCCTAACAACCCAACACTGGCAAACACAGAGAGCGAGCAGAACAAAATGGCAACTGCACACAAGAACCACCAGGCACGTCTCAAGAAGACAGGCAGTTGTCACTGTGGCACAGCAAGGTTGCAGACAAGGGACAAGGAACAGATCTCTATTTTAATTCCCTCTTTTTATCGCTAATGCTTTGTTTCTAGAGCTAAATCAGTCTATTTGTGGTTGGTTGTTTAAGTAACAATTACTATCAATGAAAATAGGGTTTAATACTACAGAGTTGTGGCTCATATACACAGGGTCACATAAAAGGAAGTCGCTCAAATGCGTACCAATAAAATAAGCTGTTGGGGCTGTGGTAAGACAACCCAGAACTGTAAGGTGTACTGTAGAATTAAAAATAACCATTTAAAGTCTGATATACTGGATAATGGATGCCTTCAGAGAAGCATTTCAACCTAATCTTGGCCAAAACCCTGGAGTCCAGCAAATGCCAGTATCCATTTGATGGTTATGACCCAGGAGAGCATACAAAGCAACTGCCCAGCAGGAGGAAGATGCGGAGGAGAGGGGTGGCAGTGTGCTAGGAACAGCTTGTGGCAAAGCAAATAGGACCAGTCCACAGCTCACGCAACTGCAGACAGGCAGAAACCCCAGAGGAGCTCAAGGAAGGTGCAAGGTCTTGTCAGGCTGAATTTTTATCTCTGCTTCAAAAGGCTTTGGGGGCTGCTAAAACTCCCAAAGTTTTAAACATTTAAGTAAGAGTTATACTTCTGGTTGGAAACAAAAGCAATCTGGCTTTGCTGAGCAGAGGGGCCAGTGGGGCTGACAGGTCTTTGTAATCAAGTGCTTCAGATTACAGAGAGAAATTATAGTAAAACTGGATAAATACAATGTTTCATGGAGAGAGAAGCAGAGGAAACACAACAGTTTGAGAAGAAATGCACTATTCATTTGTTCCCTCCCATTTGCGGAGGGAATCCAGGAGGATCTCTTACAGCATGTTGTTATTTTTAATCAAAATGGTGAGGTGCTGCAGGAGCCACTTGATGGCAAGGGCAAGTAACAACTGTGGGGAGGTCGGCCTCCCTAACTTTCAGGGGGACCCCTAGTATTTAACCTAGCAGATCCCCAAAAGCTGGATTCCCCTGCAGGAGAGGCGATGACCTGCCCAGCAGCTCAGCGCTATGAACCTGGGAGGGAGGCTGACTGCCACAGAAATATGTAACAAGAAGCAGTTCCCTAACTCTGTTTCAACTCATTTCGCAGTGCTTTTATTCCCCCAGCCATTTCCTAAGTACTCACATTTGTCTTTAATGTCTCCATACATTTGCGCAATTTACCAAAGACATTGGGACCCATGTATCTTTCTGGCCCAAAACTGTATTGCTGAATCCAGTTGCAACCTTGAGAATACAAAAGCTTTTCAGGGAGCTAGGGGGGGAGGGGGGGAAAAAAAAAAAAGGTAATTAGCTAGAGATCATAACCATAACAAGAAGTAGAATATAAAGTTCTATAAACTTGTCTACACACATTTTAATTTATGATGTGGTTCTGTCCTCTGGTTGTACAGTTCAAACAACAACAAAAAAAAAGTGGACTTCAGAACAACTTAAATGTTAAGAAGGAGGCTCCATTTGACTGCCAAGTCCTTAAGAAACTTTTAAAACAAAGCCAGCCATAAAAGAAGAAAATAGGCTCTTGGCAAAATATGTAACCCACACTCTAGACAAGCTGGATACATCCAAACTCAGTGAGGTTTTTAGGATTACAGACACCTTCCAGTTTGCACACGCATGCCCACAGGCAGAGCTATAGCTCCCCACCTCCCCGCTGCTACCTCCTGCCGGAGCCCCTGGAGCCCAGGGCAGGACTCCTGCTGAT